TCAGCAACGAGTAGACATCGTTATGGAGAGGCTGCAGCCGGCAGACAGGTGGGCTCGTTCGAGCACAGAAGTAACTGGGTTTCCGCTTGGTGTGGCCAGTTTACGCCTCATCAACAAAGACGAAGTGCCTCAGTTTCTTCGATCGCCTTGTGCAGTGCTTGCAGACGATTTGAAGAGTTTGAGAGTTATTGATTCGCTCGACGACTGTGGCGTCCTTCAGCAGTACCTCGATCGCCTATTCCGGTGGTCTGCAGAAGTAGACCAAGCAGTCAACACGGCCAAGCCATCATTTATGAGTCTGATGAGGAGTGGTAATGGGATTGCGTACACCATAGCCGGCCACCCACTGCATCCCACCAATTCCGGAAAGGATCTAGGTGTACTCTCACGCTGTAATACAAAGCCTGTCGACAACACGAACGAACTGTACGCAAACGGACTACGCTGCTTCTGCATTTGGTCTGAAGCGATTAGCACTCGCCTTTCTCCTCCATGATAACATCGGTGCTTGAGTACGGCTCAACCGCCTATTGCTCGATCACAGTAGGTGAGGTGCAGAGATTGGAACGGGTCCAGCATTTAGCTGCCTGACTCATCCCCAGTTTACCGGGTATGTCGTAGGAGAACCGATGTAGGAGACTTGGGCATTATACCCTCATGCCATCGAATCAAGTTGATCTCATTATGATGCGCTCGATACTGCACCTTGGTCACTTCCCTATGTTGAAGCCGCTGCTGCACGTTCGCACACCAATCAGCACTCGGGGACACCGGCACAGACTAGTGGTACCGGCTTTAAAGCACCTCGATCACCCTTTATGCTTCGAGCGTCGAGTTGTGCAATATTGGAACAAGTTGCCGGAGACGCTAGTCGAGACTAAATAGGAATTTAACATATTCCTGGACACACACTTTGCGGACTACAGGCATATGAAGCGTATCGCACCCGGATAAGATGTAGTTCAGCTTCAATATGCTGTCGCCGTGCAAGTATCAGCGACCTGATTTCGCGCATGTGCCTGATCTACTACGATGGAGCAACACAGATTTTTATCTTCTGACTCTCCATTATCTGTATTCGGTTTACGCTTTGATTGTAGTCCCGATTCAGGTAAGGACGATTTCTATCGTACTTCACCAGCTTTTGAGCAGAGCCTGCAAATCCGACACTGTTGTGCTTGCTGGGGATCTCAACGCATGGGTCGGTCGCCTATTACCTTGCGAAGGTTGCCTCGGCGGCCACCATGCGCTCGGTGGGAGCCACTCAGACAATGGAGAGAGCGAGAGTTCTCACACTGTGAATGTAGCCATCTGTTTCTCTCGAGTACCAGCTTTCGGTGGTATTCAAGGACACGTTCCGCTACTTGGCGACCCCCTTCTGCGTTGCAAACATAGTCTCAGATTGATCATATCGCAATCAGTATCAGATGGCGGGGTAGTGTAAAGGATTGCAGATCCAACTGGTCCACTTTTCTTGACTCAGACCATGCTCTTGTCTGTGCGGCCATCTGCATGAGTTTCGGAGGGTCCCCGAAAACGAAGAACTGTAAGGCAGACACAAATAAACGACCTACTGTCTCCGTCGGCTAGTGGCCGAGAGGTCTTCACGCTTGGCTTGCAATCATTACGTCACTGGTTCGAATCCGCGTAGGGGCGGGCGCCCTCGCGGTATACTCAGTCCGCACGCGACTGGTGGTAGCCGCGCAGCTGCGAAACGCCGTTACGGCGCACAACTGACATGTATTTTATTATCTACTGTACTGGTTCAGCAGAGCTATCAAGCTTCACTGGCCGGTGCACTCAGATGCGACCCACCACAAGGTATTGATGAACACTAGATGTTCATGCAGATAACCATGATCTCTTCCGGGAAGTTAACCTGTGGTCTTACTCAGCACCCTATGAAGGCCTGGATCTCCACGCAATCTTTGGATCTATTTGATCGCCGCAGTAATATCCCAATGGAGTCTACTCCTAATGAAGTGCGACGTTCAGTCAGCTTGCACCTGAAACAAAACATACGCAATGATCAGGTGGTCTCAGCGTGTTGCGGAAATGGAGGTCGCCTGCTTCTCTGGCAATACTTGCAAGCTCATCCAGCTCATTCGGTCCACTGGCCATAGAAAGCCTGGTGTCAGTGAGACTACTTGCGAAGCGGATGATTCGCCGATTGCCAATCTACAGAGAGGCTTGGATCGATGGACCGAACATTTTCATTCCCAGTTCAATTGGCCCTCACAGTCCACTTGTATGCTCAGCGAACCCAGCTGCCTGCCTTGGGTCGTCACCCTTGATCCGCCTGACGACGCGGAAGTTTGTCTTGCGATTCGACACTTGAAACGACTCAAAGCTGTCGGCCCAGATGGACTTCCTTCGGAGCTGTTCAAGTATGGAGGCGCAGTTATCATTAACCAGCTAATCTCATTGTTCTCCGAAATCTTTCATGAAAAAAAGATGCCTTCTTCCTGGGGCGAGTCAATTATTGTTCCGATTTTTAAGAAGGGTTCTCGCACTTCATGCAACAATCTTATTTCGATGATTTTCAAGCTGTTAGCATCCATTCTACTCCGTGGACTATCTCTCATTCGTGAATCGCAGTATAACGAAGAACAAGCTGGTTTTCGACCTGGCCACGGGTGTGGATTAAATATTCACGCTCCACCAAAGCATGGAACACAGCCACATTTACCAGAGGCCTACCGTCGTTGCATTCCTAAACATCCGTCCTGCATTCAACTAAATTGATCGACCTGCGCTATGATGTTGCTTGCCAAAAAACGGGGTCCAAGAAAAGTACACTGTCATCCTACACGCACTCTATCTGTACATCTCCGACAGAGCGAAGATCTGTAGCAGGCTTTCGTCATCTTTCGCTGTGAATAGCGGTGTACGAAAGGGCTGTCCTGAGCCCCCGTTCGTCTTCAATTTTGTAATCTAAGAAGCCCTGTCGAGAGCTTTAGAAGGTTACCAAAATGTTGGTCTACAGCTACTACCGAGCAACTGACTTAGTTTATGCTGATGATATCGCCTTACTTGGTGACGACACACAGAACATGCAGACCATTCTAGGCTGTTTGGTGATGGAGGCATCTAGGTACAGAATGTGTTTTGCCCCGTCAAAGTGTAAAGTACTTCTCCGGGGTTGGCACTCGCTCGTTCCCGTACTCACTACTGAAGGTACACAGCTTGAGCATGTGGACAGCTTTGTCTACCTGGGCAGCTGTGTGTTTGCTGGTGGCATTACTGGAAAGGAAGTTTCCCTTCGCATCGCCAAAGCCCGGTCGGCGTTTGTCAACTTGAAAGACTTGTGGCGTTGGCGGGATATCTCCCTCTTAGTAAAAGGTCATGTTTACAATGCCGCTGTTTGGGTGGTGTTGCTATATAGAAGCGGGTCATCACCAGTTCGCGTAGACGAGATGCGCCGGCTCTCGGCCTTCGACAATGGGTGCTTGAGGAGGATCGCTCGTGTGTGGTGGCAACAATGTATCTGCCACAGTGAAGTTAGACGTCGTGTTTTAGAAAATACGGGTATTCGCTTCAACAAACTGGTTTTGTTGCGCTAGTTGAGGTGGCTCGCGCATTTCAGCTGAGCGTTTGCCACATTGCGCCCTTTGCGCTTGTGCAGGACTTGGCTGGAAGACACCACGTGGTGGTCAGCCGTTCACCTGGCGACAGCATATGCAAGCGTTGACTTCTCGTTCTGCCATCGTTGGTGCTACATATCGGCCTGGTTGAGGAACAAATGATGAGTGCCGACGGCTGGAAACAGTTCAGGATATGGCGCACAATCGAAACCATTGGAGGATCTGTGTACATAATTGTTCAGATTTAGATGCTTAACGATTGAAAAAGAAAAAAATGAGAAAAGGATGTGCGCAAAATAACAAATAATGCCCCGTTTTTTCCTTTTATTGCGGCACACTAGCTAATATGTCATGATGGTGATGCGTTGATTAAACCAGTCTTCTTCTAGTGATTTTCATGGATTTGTTTGGCTCTATGTCTGGTAATCAGACAGCTGCTTATACTACTACTACTACTCGTCTGATATACTAATGGTTAATGTGAGACTAGCCATTCAAAGAACAGTACGCAGCTAGCGGAGTTTGCAGGTGTTGGATGTGGTTCGATGGCGGTAAGGACCTTTTTAAGAGATCTATGGGGGAACATCATTTATTCAAGAAACTTGAAAGCGCTATGAATGCTTTACATCGAGAAATCACATAGATTGAATGATATGTCTAAGAAGTGATTCTGAAATGCATCCTAATATCCACGAATATCTGATATCCTACCAATACCAGTGCTGTGTCGCAAAGGCGACTGACCTGCTTCTCTAGCAATCGCCGTTTCGTCCAATAACAGTATACAATGTCTTCGCTGACCTATCAGATCAATGCTAAGTTGAACAGCAGCGTCGCTCGCATGCATCGGACAAATCGTCTGAGATGTAACATCCGAATTCGAGCAAAAAGTTTGAAACTTGTAGGAAAATAACTCCTTCAGGCTTCCTATGTTTGAACCAATCTACCTAGTTGATGTTGCATGTCCTGAGCTCGCTGAGTGACCCACCGCGCACTGTGATGAAACGACCCAGTCGATGCCAGTAAGAATATGGCTACGCCAAGCAGACAGGAAGATCCCTGATATCCGAACATAGAATTGGTTATTTCCCCACGGGGATGGATCATTCTGTACCCCTATAACAGTGGTAACCAAGGTGCTCAGTCGATTGAAACCTTAAATCGAAATGAAAGCATTAATGAGAGATGGAAAATATACTAACTTGCGACGCCCACAGCTACAAGCTGTTCTCCGCGTTTTCCAATCTATGGTAAAAATGGGGACATTTATAGAGGACGCATGCAACAGTACTTACCAACTCGTTGAGGTTCCCGACAACTCCGTGCACACGCGTTAGGTAGATATCTATCACGTATTTGGTACACGACCGTTTTCGATGATAATGAAAACTAATCGTAACTTTTACCCATTCACAGGATGAAACCAATCGGGCCAATTTGGCAAGAATGAAAGTCGATGCAGAGCTTTTATTGTCGGAACCGGGCGAAGTGGACATGACACTAGAGGCCAAGACATCCGAGTCTAGAGCAAAACGTTTCACAGCTCCGATGGCGTCAAGAACCAACACGACGTTAGCAAGGGCCGTGGACAGGCATCGTTCTGGTCCTAGTGGCAAACCAGCACTGGATGCTTTCGTGTGTCGTGCACAGCCGTTGGCGGCGCTGGCAAAGCAGGAGCACCGTGCTCGCATGCTGAGTCTGAGCAAACCGTGGTGGAAGCTCACCGCTCACAAATTACAGGAAGATAAATTGAAATGGTTTCAAGCGACCGAACAACGGCAGAACGGAATGGCGGGCGATCAAGAAGAAGCATCCACCACGTGGAGACGCTGGTTGCCCGATCATACTTTGAGTAAATGCGACGATGAGTATCTGATGATGGAAGAATGCTCTGAGCCTATATATGGATTTATGGGTGCTTTGACTAGAGTCACTTGACACCGGGAGACGCCGCATCAGCGTGATTGATGTAGCGTTGCTTGATGGAGTTGAAGTTTGTGAAATAAAATGCACCGAGGCGAACAGTCTCAAACAAGAATTATTTGTAAATTTAGCATTAACTATTTTGATGAACGAAGAATTTTGCAAAATTATAACAAGTGCCTAAATGGTGCCCCGACCAATATGATGCTCGAAACCATCTACAGGGTGTTTAGCGATTGCGATAGCAGTTTGACATGGGATTCGTTTATAAATGTTAGCAGCGGATAAATAAATTTCGGTGTCCACTGTGAAGCTACCAAGTTAGTAAGGTACAGTGTCGGGTAATTGCAGACCGTTCGATTTGTGAGCTGTCCCACGCGCCCGCATATTTAACGGTTTTGCTTCCCATCCAGCCGGATAATACGCAAGTCTCCAACCATTGATTGATCATTCCAAATCCAGAATTCGTGCGGGTGGTGGATGTACTTTCGTTTCGTGAGGGATAGCACAATCGCATAGCTCTACTATAAAACAGAAGCGCTCGCTAAAGTAAGACATTCGGCGACCGTACGAATTTACATCTGTTATGCAATAGCATTGAAAACGTCGTTTCAGAGGTTGACGCGTTATTCGCTCTTGAAGAGCACTTGATTACTCTGTACTTATTATTGAAACAGTCATAGTGACAAATTGATTACAGGCTAATCCAGTGAGTATTTCTCACTAAAATTGTGCGAGAAGAACAGGGTCTCAAATAGCGCACTTGGGTGATAGTAACGGAAACTTTTCACCACATATTAATCGCTATGACAAACTCGTTACAAACCAGTCTCGCCTCTTATAAATAACTAAACGATTTATTCCTTGATGATGCGAGGCACAGTCCAACTGAGTGGCCTGATCAATCTGTACAACGAGATGGCATAAAATAGTTAGTTGTGCATGTCTTGTATAACTAAGCCCAAATGGGTTTTCGAAGTGATCGGTAGTTTGAAGGTATCAGAGTGATTAGAAAAAATGGGAACAAGAACAGATGCAGATCTAGCTAAAAGTTCAATTAAAGTAATACGGCCAACTATGGAACCGTCCCCACAGGACCTGTTTCCATGCGGGGTATTCCGTCAATGGGTTTCTTCCGCACTTCCATAATTGTGTGACTGCATTAGCAGTAATGCGTAGCGAAGATCATCACTCAAGTGCCTCCCTGTTACGACCGAGTGAAGCTAGAAGCAACTACAGAACGACGGAAGTATATAGTAAGACTGATTAGACAGTCTTGGGGCAGTCACAGGACGCCCGCGCCTGGAGGGGGACCATGGGTGGCTTACGCTGCATTACCCACAGCTCCATCCGCACACCCCATATTCAGTTTAAACCAGAAGGAATAAGAACGGGAGGCATGTGGATAGGAGCCAAGTTTCATCCACGGAGTCGGCCCACACTTCTTCAACATGCACAGCAGCAACATTCCAGTCAGTCCAATCGGGGAATCACACATACAATGTGTTGGCTGGGCCGTAGCCGGCTCCATCCTGGATGCATGCAATCACTCTGAGTGTAGCACGGTCACAAGGACCGTGCACCCCACCCCAAGCAACCATTCAGTCTCCTGGACCTAGTAATCGAGGTGGAGGGTGCTAGACAACATTTACATCAAGCGCAGACACACCGAGGATGTCAAACAACAACCAACACCTGAAAAGCAAGAAACTCAGCACGCAAGTACACGAACAGAACAACTGCAGCGATGATGTAGCACACGTGCCACATCAATCGCTTCATTGGCCTGGGTTAGTAAATGGAATTGAACCAGTAGCTGCGCTGATGATGATTACATATTTTGCTTACTCGCCTTCTTTCACATGTTGGCCCTGCGTGGCGACGCTGGTGACTTAGTAAACCAGCTTCGCTGAGGCACTCGCGACCGCATATGCTACAGCACAATGCGCTTGACGTCAATGGGTTATCCACCATTAACGCCTGTCGCGTCGATACCCGGCGTTTCTCCTTCGCATGTAATAGTGCTTTCTGTCACATCTGGGCTACCGCCCACTTGATCAGCTCATGCCATTCACGCCGATCAACTGCCATCGCTTCCCAACACCTGAAAGTAACATTACTTGGTGAGAAACTCACTTTGATCATGTCTCGGTAACGTAACTTCGGTTTTCCCACGTGCCGCTTCCCTGCACACAGTTGGCCATAAAGCAACCGTATCGGTATCCGCATCGAGTTCACGCGGCGAACATGTTCGAGTCACCTCAGTCTACTGCTTACATGCCACCGCGGCGCAGCGCTTAAGTGTCTGCAACTCTGTCGCACCAACCGATGTGCAGAATGCGTCGCAGAAACTCGACGAGACTGGTTCAGACAGATATCGGGCACCCTTCCGGTCATTGTGCAGGTTTCGTTGCGGTACAGAAGAACGAACAGAACCATCGATTTGTATACCATCAGCTTCGTTCCAACGGTAAGCTAGTAGTTGTTCCACGCACGTTTCTCCAGTTTGCCTAACGCAGCAGCCGCTTTCGATACGCGCATGCGTAGCTCGCTCAATAGCTCCACGTCGGCAGACAGTACGCTCCCAAGGTAGCAGAATCTCATGATATCCAAAACCTCAGCAGCAACGTGGATTTGCGTTAGGCCCAAGGATTGCACTTCTGGAGAAGGCTGAAAAAGAAACAGTCTTGCTTGTGTTGACGGTGAGCCCGACTAAGGCAGCTGTCGAAGCGAGAGCACTAGTCATGGGCTGCAATTCATCCGCGTTGTGTGCAAACAACCTACAGTCGTCCACAAACAGCAACATACGGATGGTGGTTCCATGAGGAAAGCGCACAAACCTGAAAACGCACACTAAAAGTGAGCACATTTTAGCAATCTGGTCACAGATGTCCATTTTACCTATTTGTGGCACTAACAAGATCTAATTTTTGACGTATACCTCTTAAAGCAGCAAATTGTGATGATTATGACATTCACATCCAAGGTGCCCGTTAGTACGACCGCTGGGCGCGTAGCATACTGCGCAGCGTTGCGAGACTATGTACAGAACTACAAGAACGGCGCATTGCTCGTCTACTGTAGTTAGGCGAGGCCTCAACGAATTGGGTGGCTGAAACCCACGGTGTGTCAGCAGGCGAAGTTGATGTTCCGCATTCCCTTGCCTTCCTTTTGCAGACGCTGAAATCAAAGGCGGCTATCTTCATCTAAGCCAAAGTCTCATAAGGAATGTCAGCGACGGGGGCCTAAAGATCTCTGAAATCGATGACAACCGAAAACTCCAACTCAGGCCTCTGGATGCAAGGACCGTTTGAATAAATGGTATCTAATGATTTGTGCGTTACATTTCCAAATGAAGAATCATGTAATGCGGTGCTCACATACCTCTCAATGTACGGTTACGAAACAATAAAGGGCAGCCAGTGTACTATACTTAATACTCACATTAGGAATTCCCGTCGCAAAAAACGAACTGCTGGATAGTCTTCCCGGAATGATCACGTTACCGGAATAAATGTGTCAGCACACACCCGCTCATACAACGTTGCATCCGGGGGGAATAATTGGACACACTTCCAACACCTGGGCCGGTCTTCTGATATGCCTACATTTTTCCGCTCCATCAACTAGTCAACCAAGATACAAAGGATGTGGCCTAAGGAAAATCAAGGTGGTGCTTCAATCCAGCCAGATGTGAGCGTGATTGTTAGAACGCTGTTATGCACCTCGTAGCACACTACTTTCAGAGCTCTGGGTCAAGGCGGCGTCCTCCAAGCAAACAACATACACGGGGAAATTGATTCGCATCATGTAAGGGGAACAATTTAGATGGCATCACTCAGCCAGCCGGCGAAATTAGCGACCACACCCCATTCCTTAAACGCAAAGAGATTGTTCAGGAGCAATACACCCCTGATAGGACACAAACTCAGTTGACAGTATAATATAGAAAAAAGACAATTAGTATCCGACTTTTCAGCGGTCGGCACAACTTCACATCCAACTCACACGTCCCCCGACTAAATACTGATATCAGAGGTATCACAAGCTTGGGACCTCATTTTTATAACTGAAACCTGGTTGCGCGCACAAATTACCAACGACGAAGTGGATGCCCTTTATTCACAAATATAGCAAGCGGAAATGGACTACTCATAAAAGTTGCCAGAACAATCATTCCCGCAAGTTAATTTGCAACTGCTAATTGGCAGGTACGGACGGCAGGAACGGACGATGTCGTCCGTTCATCTGAGAAGTCTCTTAGTTCTGTGACGAAAAACGCGGACAAGCGACCAGTTTCCTTGGTTTCTGGCAAGTAGCCAGGTAAGGGCGCAACTGCTTATCCCGTAACACCATAGCTTCAAAGTGAGTCCGAAATGAGACAGCATGGAGGGCTATCGAAATGCTTACGACCTCCCGTGCAGCTGCGACGCGTGCTGATACTCACACAACCCTAGTACGCACAAATCACCAGTGCCGTTTGAAAGCGGCTACCTCTTATATACGCAAAATTTAGGCGTGCATATTCACTAATGCGTTGTTCAGGACCGCCTTAACATCAGTGAAACGCTAACGTGGAAAAATGCTCAGTTACACAGTGCGAGAACGGGTTAATTACTCGATCTGTTCTTTCTCACCTCAAAGCGACCTGCACGCGCATTGGCTACTGCAAGTCCGTGACAGACCAAGTCCCTCTGTAGTCTATCGAACAAATGACATGCGCTTGGATGACTACAATGGAATAATAAATGCAAAGCATTGTGAAATCCTTCGCAGCAATTGGTTTTCGGTGACCTCTCGAGAGCCGCATCGTGATGGTTCCACAGTTGCACTGGGAACTGCGGTTCTCGGCCTGCTGCCCCTTCAATGTAAGTAGAGAAGAGATAAGGAAGCATCGCATGATATGATTCCTCATTTGGAAATGTGCTGGCAAGCTCATCAAATCCAAACGACTACAGCTGTACTTTCACATTGATATCGGTTTCAATAGCACTCTTTAGGACGACGTTGCCGACTTTACTGAAGATACTTTGGCACTGCTGCGGCGGAAAATACGAACCTTGTAGCGTTAATAGAAGCCCTCACGAAATGGACTAACACCTTGCTTGGCATCAAATCCGGTAACAGTAGTTCCATTATTTTTCAAATTCTTGTATAGGTCTGCGTATCATTTTACTGCAACTACGTCCTCGCATGTGACCAAGCGCTGTACAGGCAAACAACACGTATCACAGTAGTAATCAGACTCGCAAACAACGCAGCCTAGACAGTATGGGCAGTGCACTACTGTCCAGTGGGTCAGAGCAATTACAGACCTGTTGCAGAGCACCGACTGTTATATGTCGGTAGCATCTACGCAGTTGCCCCACGGGGCAGTGCTATGCGGTTACTGGCGAACAGTCTTTGACTGTCTTCAACATGCCCGACTGCCTGGCTGGGGTCCTAAGGACGGTGAACATGTTTGGCTGGACACACTTGCTGATATGGCTAGGAGCCGGCCCCAATGGCGTTTGTGTTGTGAGTTCCTTTGTCCATCCCCCTCCTGTTTAGCATCCCCCTCCAATCACGATCTCAATCGTTAGGCATAATATGACTTACTTTTACGGCAGCCAGCTGTTAGCTCTCCGGAACGATGTCCATCCGTTACTGGGGACTCAGCGGGCGTGCCACTGTTTGTTTGTTTTCTCTTTTCTTGCCTTTTGTATTGCGGCACAATAGCTGAGGTGTTTTCCACCACCAGCTAACGTGTAATGATGATGATGTCTTCAACATGAAGTGTCCATGCATAAGGTTATGCTGGCGACAGAGTGACGTTGTACAACCCGTTCTTAATCGAGGAAGTAGCTCACAGAGCAGTCGTCTATTTGGTGGTTCGGCATACAAGGATGACATAACTGCCGGGACAAGTGAATTGAGAAACGATCTCGAGAGGCTTCCGCAAAATTACGAAAGCTGGTGATGGGTTAGCCCAGCCGTGAGTGATAACTCTGTACCATGAAAATGTAAAACACACGTCAAAAACAGCGGCGTCTTGCAGTAGATCACTCAGTAACGTTGTGCGGTGCTCAAAGAACGCATAAAGGTTTGCGCTCCTTTGGTATAAGCGCAAGCGAAGTGTTAGATGAGACAACGCAACTGACCATCGCAGAGAACTCCTCCGATTTCGTTAAAATGAGACAAATGGAGGAAGACAGGGGGATAAGACAAAATCTGAGCCGACAGTATTGAACAATCAATTATTGTATGAATAGTACGTGATAAGAAATAGATCGACGACATGGAAAAGGGATTGGGGGTAGAGAAATTCACATCACATGAGCGCATCAAAGAACACATCAAGTAAGGTGGCTAACAAGGGCTGTAGAGAATAAGCCTTCCGTGCAATGCGCTGAAGGAATGACGGGGAGATTGGGTCCGAGGGCTGCGATGTATCGACTTTTGAGGTTGCTTCGAAAGAATCTATGTCATCAGGAAGCGTGGCATATCGTATTGACAACTCCTCAAAAGTGAGACAGTCCTTATTGGCAGACTGTTGAAGTTCCTCATATCCAGGTTCGGGTGGTCGATATGTGAGTATCTAAACAAACCAGAGCATGAAATAGAATGGTCAGATGAAATGTTTCAAGTCTGATGTGTTCGCGGGTAATGAGAAAGTGGAACCAAAAAGAATGCATCATATTGATGCAAAAGACACTGTGCACCAACTCAGGTAGAGTGGCAGAGAAAGGAAACATTTAAGTCGAAAATCCATAAACACTTTTATAACATGTGTGGTTGTCAGTATGCACTTCCTGTCGCTTAACGCACACTTTCAAAGGTCAGCGGAACGGACAGAACAAATGTGTACGAATGACGCACTATAATACAGCGCCTCGGTGTGTCGTACATTCCCATAATTATGTTCTGTGTTAAAGGCTAAGATTGAGTAGAACAAGGTTGTTTGCAAAGATGCACACACCAGTACAGCCCATATACTCGCTAGACAGCGAACATCTTGCTGGTTGACAAAAGCTGGATGGCACAGTCAACTCTGGATAAATCCGCCGAAGCGTTCCCATCTTCTGGCACGCACTTTTCCCCTTCAGAGTAGTGTTGTTGCAAGAACACCGGTTGCTTGTCATGCGAAGGCGAGGAATTTGAGAAATTTGACCAACTCACTGACCGCATCAACTGCATCAGCGGTGACGCGAGTGGAACTGTTGAAATTTACCGAAGTATTGCAAAAACCAAAATGGCGTTCAATAAACTATTAGACCAGTGTCGCCAAAAGTTTTAAAGCCCATATGTACAGAACGATATTGAAAGCCGATCTTCTGCACAAAAGTGGGTCCGAAGAATACAGGCTCCGACCATCGTTGCCTACGGAACGCACTGTTTCAGCAGCTCAGCTGGCAGACTAGTTCAGCAGCTAAACAAATAAGAAGTTGTGTTGATTCGATCACCTACTACGCAGGTCTGCTAACAGCTCACTGAGAATGTCGGATGGCATAAAGTAGGAAGCGAGCAACCGTAAATTTGGCAACAAGAAATTGGCTAACTATTAGCTTGGGTGCTGTTCGTCCGGTTCGCCTGCCACTCTGATCTTCACGCTTTGCTCGCAAACGAGACCAGTGATGCGATCACTGCCGTAGCCTGAGAAGACAGTGGCGGCAGGATTTATTGTGGTACCGTGAGGAGGAGGATGTCTTAATGACTTCACGCTGCGGCTACTGGCTGTGACCATGAGCCGTAGACAAAATGTAGACGTCCTGATGTGTGCTCATTGCAGCTGGGTTTACTATCGAGTCCCTCTTCTCTCTCCTCCGCACACCAAATTAGTTGGATCACTATGTTTGTATGGCAACGCAGCAGTAGTACAAAGTGCTGACGCACGCTGCTACTACTGGGGACAACGACGGTGTGGATGGTCATCTAAGACCTGCACAAAACACTTGCTATGTATGCGAGAAGGTTTTAACCCGGTGATTGCACGTCCCCGTACTCATAACATAACCCGTAATGCTGCGTGAGCGAACGGCAGAATGAGTATGTCACGCTGGAACGCTAACGGTGTCAACCAAGTCCAAGGATGGGTACGAGCGAGCTCACATACGGGTTCGGAGCTCGTTTTGATGCGGGACCAGCGAACAGCAAACTAATCAAACGTCATTCAGGCGGGCAGATCCGAATTGCAAAATTGGTTCGACCTAGAGTGAACGAAACTCTACGTGATTCCAGAGCTCGTTCCGTAGCAATAACTATCACTGGATTGGGTGTTACCGAGTTTCGGTTGGAGAAAAAAATTCTTCAACGATAGCTGCATAACAGAGGTTCGTGAGCTTTTATAACCAAAACGACTTAGGGTGTAGTGTTGTGAGCGAGAAACACAGAAACTACTTCAAGGTGGCGAGTAAGCTTCATATGATGATCATCGTTGGAGTCTGCGATCCGAGTCTTTAGCTTCTGACCTCGTTAACCAAGAGCCGCTGTTACACATTCTGGTGGGATTGCGACTTCAAATGTGTGATACTTTTGGTAGGATAGTCCTCATGCCAAGCGCATTTAATTCATCCTCCATAATCAGAGTTTCTGACATTCACTGTATACTCCACTGTTCTTCGGGATCGCTGTCTTGTTGCCTTTCCTAGTTTCTAACGATACCATACTTTCACTCGTTCTGGTGAAGAATTCAAACGGAAGCATGAAGATGAAGTATTGTGCGGCGTCAGTAGCCTGACCGCAGCTCCTCATCCAGAGCACAGAATTGTCTGGACGAAAGCACTATCTGGTCTGGATTGCAATTTTCATCGCAAAATGCCTCGAAATATCACAATGAGGGGTTTGCTACCAACAACAACCTCTTATAATTCGTCATCTAAACCAAAAGTACAACAATTCGTATCCTCACATATATATCACGTCTAATAAGTGTAAGCAGTGCATTCATAAGCTTCTGGAGGAGGGGGGTTCTCGTCCTGCTTTTCCCGTCTGAGACCTGGCATCTGCTTCATACTTCATTCAGTGAAGGAAATACTGCAACTCCCCCTATTTCATTAATTCTATTAGGTGTGGATCAAGCATTTGACTTAATGCCGTGGCATTCTGAGGCATATTGTCATGAAAAATCTCTTTGACCATACATAGTGGCTCAAAACGTCAATGCATAGACAGCCGTACCATAAGCCGGTCCCTTGGTCAAAAGCGAGTAAATTGTGTGTACCTGCATGCCACTTTCCCACAAATGGACTAAAGTACGAAACCATACTGTCAGAGCATTCGGGCATATAGTATACCAGACACCCATTGGTACCATTTGTTCTTTGTAAATGAACGGCGGAAAACGATGTGTGACAGCAAATGATGTCCACTTCTGCTTTTCCTTCCGGTACACATCACATGCACGATCATTCCCGGTAAGGCAAATGTGTTACGGTGGCGGACTCGTCCTTGCTGAGAGCGTAAAACACTCCACGGAAACAGCCTGTCTTAAAAGTAAAAGAAATACACGTGAAATAACTTACATTGCGATCGGTTATAGCCGCCCCCGCATGACTCAAGGAGCCATCATGTAAAGGCCCGTACGTCTTCAGCTATGCGCCACCTCCAGTTACGGAAAATCATAAGATACAGCGTGGAATACTAGAGATGACAACTGAGACAGTTAAATATCAATGTTCTGGGTAACATACTCGAAATCAGTTGGCAACAGAACCAAGAACAACATCATCCCATGGGTTCGAAGCGCATTACTGTGGAGTGAATGGTGATTCGGGGTGATGTGTGAACAATCTGACGCCATCGGTATGGACTTAATAGAAGATACTCTTAGCTGAACTGTGTAATCTAACGTGTACATGGGAACTGTGTGATAAGGGAAAAAGTTACAAAACATCATCTGGTTACACATTAGTCAGTGATGCACTGGTCTTAGCAAGGACCGGGTGATATACAAAGTGTCCGTTTTGTGACGGTAGCTTGGGCGAACAGAGACGCTGCGCGACCAGTAGAAAGAAAACTAATCAATAACCAGTAATGTGAGTTGATCACAATTGCAGAATTGGTTCGACCTGCAGTGACCGAAACTCCACGTGGTCCCAGAGAAGGCAAGTGCGCATTAGAGCGAACGGCAGCGAGTGTAAGTCAAGGAATTCAAGAGGATGTTACATGAAGGACAAGAAGAACAAGTTAATGAAATAAGCTGCAATAGCAAAACAGTTCGAATTTAGGTAAGGTACACATCCCTCTGCTGTCCATGAATAAACTATTTTCGGTCACCACGCAGATATTGTCTGTATTCTTGGTGGACAACTCGATAAGTTGGAGTTGTCACGATAATCTTTCAGGAAAACATATCATTTTAACTAGAAAACTATTTGAGCCAATAACGTACAGCTGAGGCACCAAATCAAGCTAAGAACATCCAGGTCTATCACGTGACGCGTGCACTGTCATCTCACTGGTCGAGTGGAGCTAGACTGGTAATTCTGGCAGCCTAGGATTAGAACATTCTTGGGTGGATATACAAATATCCAGACAGAAGTTCCAGCTAGATAATACACCGGATAATAACATGTTGGTAGAGAAGCCAGTGATAAGGAAACTCCAAATCCTCGTGCTACACGGTTAAATCACTAAGTCGAATTACAGACAGGCGAAGTCAACTAGGACGCAGACATCCAGAATGAGAGATGCTTGCAAAGTGTACAAAACAGGCAACTCGCTGCGCTCGATTATGTATATGAACAACTCACCTTATCACGTTGCGCAGTGGTTGTCAAAATTCTTAGACCCGGTGTGTAAACTCCTGGTTACGTATTGCCTGAAAGATACCTTCGAACTGGCCGAGACAGGGGAGTAATCGTCACTTAAAGCCGAGCTAGTCTACTAAATAGTTGTGGACTCCCTATTCACAAAGGTGCCTCTAAGTAAGTCGACGATTTATGCGATTTCACACTAAGTCAAAACATGTCCGCAGGCCTACATTCGAAGTATCTGAGTAATATAATACTATTGTGCAAGGAAAACGTAGGGTTTGAGTTTGAGGGGACAGCATATAAACAGATCGAAGGTAGCCCGCTGGGACCAATCTTAGCCGAAAGGTAATTAGCTTCCCGCATTGGTGAAGGGAAGTTTGACATACGTTATGTGGATGACATTCTGGCATTCGCCAGCGGCTGTTGACCGTTCTGAATTCGATTCACCCCAATGTACCGGTATCGCGTGAGGTGGAACAACACGGTAGCCTGCCGTTTATGGGTACACTCATTAAGAGATGAGACGGAGGCACGCGGCAACGTTTCATTCGTCACAATGCGATCTGGAGTGGGCAGCACCTGCACTACCACAACTGCGCCTCGGTAGCGTACAAATGCGGTCTAGTGAAAATCCTGTTCTACAGAGCCAGAAGGATTTACAGTCCCGAAAAAGTGGAAATTGAAGAAGGATTTTTGAAGAGGACCTTAGTGGCGAATGGGTATTCTGAAACGTTCATCCAAATCCACAACAGACCTACGAAAAGGAAATACCAGCGCTAACATTAGAGAGAAGTATGTTTGTTGGTTTTTACTGTCCAAGAGGGCCATAGTACAAATGAAATTGAACACAAGCTCAGATCCGCACTAACGAGCTACTACACGACCGCTCAGTCGTGACTCATTTATACTACGCGAAGTCTTGTCCTTCATAACCGTCAGGGGAAGTCGGCCTCTCACGTTTTATATCAGTTCACCTGAAGTTGTGCTGACATTTACATAGGCAGAACTGACCATCCGGTAGCTCAGAGGGTCGCTGAACATTCATCAGTGGTTGGGGCGAGCGATGATGCAATAAAACGGAGCGGATTCTAGGATGAAGCAGAGACCGTCATCATGTCACAAAGCCCCTTAAGGCGACTAGTCATCAGGAGAACCCGGGGAGCGCGTTTAAAGTGTTATTGCACAATAAAAACAGTAATGCCGGCAGTCAATGAGGCATTGCTAATTAGGGTCCATCAAACTGTTCTGCGCAAAGAAACTGTCGAGACCATGAATCAGGTTGCCCTGGTATTGATTGTGACATTTGCATTGGTGGTGCTAATTATTCCCCATATGTGATCGCCCTGCTGACGGCGCTAGACTCAAAGAGTGGTTCCATGCATCCAGTGTGGAACGGGCTACGGCCCAGCCACCGCCTTGTGTACGTCTGGTACGCATGATTTTCCAAGTAAGCACGAGTACCTCTGCTCAGCGTGTTGAGGGAGTGTGGGTCGGCTCCGTTGATGAAACGTGGCTCTCATCCGCGTGCCTCCCGATCTTATTCCTTCCGGTTTACACTGGAGATGCAGTGTGTGGACGGAGCTGTGGGTGATGCAGCGTAAGTCACCCACGGTTCCTCCGTAGGTGCAACCACCGTCCTGTGGCTGTCCCCGTAGAGGCCGCAGTGACAGGCAAACCCGAAAGCGGGTGTTCTATTCTTATAGTATTTTTGACGGATGACAATCAAAATGTTAACATATCGCAACCTGTTTTCTCTTTGATTCGACGAAATGACTGGTGAATCCACTGTCTTAAGTGTAAATATCCACTGGTTTTCACACTACTTGTACTCGTTTCGGTGGCTGATCCTGTGTAATACGCATTCGCGTGGAAACATTGACTCCTGGTTTTGACTCGGATTGGGAGCTTGCGGGGAAGGAAATCGCACGGAAAGAGGAAGATCTAAAGCACAAGTGACAGACAGCGAGCTATGGGAGATTCTGATAGATAAACGTTCCGTTGTGGGATTAAATAATCGAGTAACTCACCTCTAGAAGGAAATCACACTCGTAATGAGTAGTGAAGTACGGTAAAACCATAATGAGTATCGGACGTGCAGCCTGCACTGTGTGTTCACGAGTGACTACAAGCTCGTCGACACCGATGGTGGATGACTGATAAGGGAAGAGCTTATGCATGTCCTCGGGGCTCGCCAAATCGATGAGTTCATCCCATTCGAGTTGAAAGCGATATAGGGGATTAGTGTGGGAGCACTTGGAGCGATGGTGCTAAAAGAATGAAAAACACTCAAATTCACAAGAGTTTGGGATCGAAAGTGTAATACATTTCTATGTGAATGTGTTGATGACCAGATTGTTGAGTTTCCCAGTGTGATACTGGGTGACACCGCTACGACGACAAATACGTAAACTTTGGTCACATGCTGTCGTGCTCCTAATCTCAAGGCATCAAAAACGCTAGCTTATGTATTCATGAGAGTGGCATCTCTCGGGCAGTTGGATGGCATGTAGATATGATGACGCAAATGCAAAGTATTGTTGTGCTCATGTTCTCCGTTGTCGCAACGGCGGGTCAGTTCGGCCGCAGTCCACTAACACTTACCAGCAAGTCAGTGGGAATGAGGAGCGAGAAGGTGTGGAATGTGGATGTGGAATAGCCACTACAGGTGTTCCATCAATAAACTCCGCTTCATGTGCGATTGGGTTCCAAAGATAAACGTTGAGAACCAAGCTGATAATTAAATAGGTGACTCGGCCAAATGAACTGATGGGAGATCGGCACGATAACGCGTCCAGATTGACATTGAATAACGTTGAGTGGAAAATAACAGCCTACCTAGCAGCACCTGTGCGTTAGGACATATTGTTGTACAGCAGTTAGGCCAACAATTCGCTATGTCGCTCCACAGGCTGTGGAGCGTAAACGGCTCCTGCTTTCAAACTCGGTCCCTTGTGAGGGATTTCATAAAAGGGATATCCGCTACTTTGGGCCATAATGTTATATCCAAGGCGAGAGTTTAGCAAGATGTTTCGCCCAGACCGATGCTCCATTATAATTGACAGCTATACTTTGTAAACAGTCTTGGCCAACCTAAATACGACAGTGTATGAAGTAGTGGGATACCGATTGCAACAATGCCGACGTCATCGGGCAATGGCCCAATTAAAAGGCATCTCTGCTTCAGAAATAGAAACGCATGGTGATGATAAAATTTGTAAGGGGTGTAAAGATGAACGAACACTTTTGTTTGTATGTGTGTGACAATAGCAAAAGTAGTAAGGCAATAGGAACGAAAGCATTACCAGTTTGTAGACTCGGAGGTGGTGTAAATCTCCTCATAGTCAATCACTGCTGTGGTGTAATGGTAAGAAGCTAGAACATAATGAGAGCAGGGGACGTCAGTTCACTGTATTGTCTAGGTTAAGCGCAACGTAACCCACGTTCTGGAGCTCTGAATGGAACATCACTGATCACAGACAATAACTGCATTGCTGTTGTAATGTCATGGATGGATCGCCCGGGTCAACTGCGTGCACTAAAAGCAGGATCTCATTCGCAAGGGAGACAGTAAGAGGTTGAAGAAGGTGAACACAGTGGTGCTGTCCCACACCTGCTTGAAGACCGGCCATATTGATCTTGGTGACGCCACAAGCGGGATTTAACTGATTTAATCCTATTCGTTAATGTCCTTCGTCGGGGCAATTTCATCCAGAAGAAAAGATATTTTTACGCATAGGAGTGATGATGACGGGTAGTTGTCTGATGAACTTCATCTGGGCGATCAACCTGGTATATAATCCCGTAATGATAACGGTGAGCAGTTGCTACACCTGTGTGAAGATGCTCGTATAATTCTCGCGAGCACTAACCCGACACAGCACCCGTAGAAGAATACTGAATACTGAGAATAGAGAGCAAGAAGATAAAAATCTGTGTTGCTCCATCGTAGGTGGATCGGACACATGCGCGGAATCACGTCGCTGATTCCTGCGCAGTGGCAGCATATTGCAACTGCACTACATCTTATCCGGATGCGATACGACCCATATACCTGTAGACCGTAAAGTGTGCGTCAAGGAATCTCTTAAATTCCGACACCTATTTCGCCTCCACTAGCGTCTCTGGTAACTTGTTCCAGTATTGCACAATTCGATGCTCGAAGCATAGAGGGTGATCGGTGCATTTTACATCCGGCACCACTAGTTTGTACCGGTATCCCCGAGTGCTGCTTGGTGCGCAAATGTGCAGCAGCGGCTTCAACATAAAGAAGTGACCAAGGTGCAGTATCGAGTGCATCACAATGAGATCAACTTGATTCGATGACAGGAGGGTATAAAGCCCTATTCTCCTACATCGGTCCTCCTACGACATACCCGGTAAACTGGGGATGAGCCGGGTAGCTACATGCTGGATCGGTTCCAGTCTCTTCACCTTACCTATTGTGATCGGGCAATAGGCTGGTGAGCCGTACTCAAGCACCTGTCTTATTATAGAAGAGAAGACCAAGTGCAGAAGCTGCGTCTAAGTGCCCAAAACAGGCGTAGTCCGTTTGCGTACAGTCTGTTCATGTTGTCAATAGACTTCAGATTACAGCGTGAGAGTATGCCTAGATCATTTACGGAACTGGTGGGATGCCGCGGGTTGCCGGCCAGGTTGTACGCACACCCATTAGCACCCCTCCCCAGGCTTGCAAACGAGGAACTGGCCGGGTTGACCGGTAGGTCAACTTCTGCAGACCACCGAGATAGGCGGTCGAGGCCCCTCTGAAGGACGTCACAGTCGTCGGGAGAATCAATAACCCACCAAATCTTCAAGTTGTCCGCAACAGTCCACAAGGTGATGGAAGAAGCTGAGGTCCCATTTATGTGGGTCAGGAATAAATTTGGCCCCAGCATTGTGCCTTGAGGTACACCGCTATTGGAGGGGTATCAGTTCGTTAGGTGGTCATCCACCTGTACCTGCCATCTTCTCCCAATAAGGAAGTCACGGATCCAATGAGGCAGTGCGCCACCAACACCATACATCCTCAGCTTGTGGAGCAGGACCTCATGGTTCATTTTATCGAAAGCTTTACTGCAATCAATGTAAATAACATCCAATGGCTTCACCCGGTTCATCACTTGCAACCGCTCCTGCCGCGTTAACAGCAGGTTGGTGATGCACGAGCGGCCCATCATGAAGCCATGCTGAACCGGGGTTAGATCTTTCCACTCCATCAGCTGAAGACGCTTTTTCACAATCTTCTCGAGCACCTTCGCCAAAATAGAGGTGAGACAAATCGGCTGGTAATTATCCACATTGCGTAGATCACCACCTTTTGAAATCGGCTTCACTACCGAGCATTTCCAGTCGCTCAACAATGCACCCTCGACCAACGATCTGTTGAACAGATCCGTCACGGCAGGCGAGATGATGGCCGATAAGGACCTCAAAATTAGCGGGTGAAGACTGACATGACGCTTGTCAGCCTCGGACCTTTCACGGACGCAATTCGATCACATCGCGATCAGTTACCGCTGGAGAGGATGCGTGCCAAACCACGCTTGATTTGGAACACGAGCGTGAACTGTGATCATGCACTCACATGTGCCGATCTGCGAGTGGGTTTCGGCGGACGTTCACAATGACGCTGGGAGCGTAAAGAAACCAGCCAACTGGCAAATCCAGGTGTTCTGAGTGCATATCACAGTACGCTGGCATCCGGGCTGAGTAACCGCCCACCGAAAACCGTTGAAGATCACTGGTCGCATATTCACTAGATGTTACTATCAACAGGCATCTATGCATGTGGCAAATCAAATTGCCAATCTAGTAGTTGGGTCTCTACGCAGTCTCTAGAACTTCTGGCTGCTCACCGACGTATGCCGGTTGCAAGCAAAGACATTGAAACACGTAAAAATCTCACAGAAAAGCTCCGCGCTAGCCTGAAGAAAGACCGTGAATGCTGGTGGTCTCATCATGCCTCGGAGATGGAAGCAGCCGCTGCCGTTGGTAACCATCAGAAGCTATTCCGTCTGATCCGGTAAACGGGCAGCAGGGGACGTGGTGTTATGGAGACCATACACGACGAGTCGACAGCCGATTCACAGCTTTTTAAAATACTTGGAGCGTTGGGATGAACACCCTCTTCAGGCACTGACTGCCATTTTCCACGGGCCGTCCGCTTGGATCCACTCTCAGGCGAAGAGATCGAAGGTAAGATCAGACTGTTGAAATTGAATAAAGCCGCAAAAGCAGATTAACTTCCCCCAGCCCACTTCAAATTCGAGGGAACTGCTCTTGTAGATGAATTGCACAACTTACTGGTGAAGCTGTGGGAGCCGGGAGACCGTCCCGACAGTAATAATAATAATAATAATAATAATAATAATAATAATAATGTGTCAGCTGTACGCCGTAACGGCGCTTCGCTGCCGCGCGACCACCACAAGTCGCACCGTTATAGTCCCGATTTTCAAGCAAAACTTAGGTCCCGAATGCAGCAACCATAGGGGAAGCAGTTTGATCCCAATTGCCTCTAAACTGCTTGCGTTTGTTGTTCGCCACAGACTGGCTGGCACCCGTGAAAGTCAGCTTCGCGAAGATTAAGCCGGGTTTCGCCGAAATCGAGGATGTTTGACCATATATTGACATTTCGCCAATTGTTGAACACCACCATATTTGTTGGCGAACTACCGTAGTCGTATTCCTTGACATCGAAATCGCCTTCGATTCGGTCGATCGATGTGCACTTTGGAACTGTCTACTCAGGAAAGATTTTCCCGAGAAATATGTAGATGCCATAAGAGCGCTGTAGGCGAATGGCTCGGACAGAATGAGGGCTATGGCAAACTGTCACAGCTCTTTAATATCTCCGGTAACTTCGGTATTGATGAAGCCATGGAGACGATATTCGCCGGACACGACTTAGGTGTGGAGCTCCTTCTAGATCAGCGAGTTCTTGACTTGAATTATGCCGATGAGATGGCACTCATCTGTGACAGCTCCTAAACATGCCCACAAGCATTGGACAGATTAGCAATGGCCGTAAGTCGACTTGGGCGGTAATTTGCACCGCCGAAATACAAAGTTCTTCTCCCAAATTGGCAGTGAGCTACCCCTGCGAGAACTTTTGGTGATGACCAGTTAGAAGTCGTTCAGCAATTTAAGTACGAATGCAACTATATTAGTGACTGTGGAATGGAAGATAAGATCAAGAGTCGCATAGCAAAAGCTCGAGGTAGTTTTGCTCATCTCCGCTACCTGTAGCGTCCGTGTAACATCACTCTCGCGCTGAAGGCCAGTTTACAATGCAGCTGCCCGTTCAACTCTCCTGTACGGTTACGAAACCTGACCCCTCAGGTCGACAGACATAAAGAGACTTGTTACGTTCGACCATCGCTGCCTTCGCAACACAGCTCATATCTGGTGGGAAGAATGCGTGACTTATGAACGTGTCCGGTGTCGTGTATTTAGTGCAGGAAAAACGAATGAATCGCTCGCCACCATTATATCACGCACCAAGCTCCGATGGCTGGGCTACGTGTTGTGCATTCTAGTACACCGATTCCCGCGACATGCGCTGTTTACGTGACAGAAAGGTGAATGGAAGAAGAGACGGAAAGGCCAACCGATAATTTAGTCAAGAGGAATGAAAAACCTCACTTGGAATTCGGCGTCCGTTGGTATCTGTCGACTACAGGGTTGGGGTCCGAAGAACGAGGAACACGTTTGGTTGTATACACATGCTGAAATGGCGAAGAGCCGGTCCCAATGGCGTTTGTGTTGTGAGTTTCTTTTTCCCTCCGTTTAGCTCTCCCAACATAGATTTCATACCCAATGCATTAGTTTAGTTTTTGGACTGTAATGCTTATTAAGTTTTTTGTATTGCGGCATATCCACTGATAGCATTTGCTCGGTGTGTTACGAGCGACGGTAATTAATAGAATGTTGCACTTGGTAGCAGGGCAGCCAGAGTGGTCAAAGAAAATCGCAGGGTGAAAAAATCAACCACATCTGTGACACCATTTGAAACCAATGCGCCAAGAATACCATAGCTGGTTTTATGGGAAATAATTTGAAGACTGAAAACGAGTTGATCTAGTGATTTGGATTTTCCTCTGAAGGATAGGTGGGAAAAACCAAACAAAAACATTGGAAAAAGGGGTGAGCATCGCTGAATGCTAGAATAACCAATGATCGAGTATAGGATGAAGAGAGGAGCAAAAAAAACAAAATCGAATCAGGACCGTTTAGTAGGCATCGGTTGTGAAAAAGACAGGTACACTTCGGGTGTGTGTTCGAATAGAGGCGCGACGCTATTTCGATTGTGGTGCGTGTAATAAGCCCATGTGATAATGGTCCTGAACACTGAACTGGGAAATGATAAGATAGCCCAAGAATGGACACCGCATCAGTCTATACAAATTCGATTTTGCTCGGTGCTCAACTGACTAGTTCCGCCATAAGCCATACTGCCATTCGAGTGTCGTCCAGTCTGTATAACTGTGGTGCGAGGGTCCAGCTGTCTTCTGACTCAACTGTAGCGGATGCCTACCAGATACACTTTGGTCAGGTAACCAAGAAACAAAGGAGATCGATACGCGTCAATACAAACATGAAGAGCAGTGAAAGAGGAGAAGGAAAAGGGACAAAAAAGGTGCTTGAAAGAAAAGTGGATTGATATTAAGTGGCGAAATCCGACTTTCGGTGACCGAAAAGACCGTGCTGGATGTGGCTATTAACTGTACGAAAGGTCTTTCTGACCGAAACAGTGAACGGAGGACCACAAAATGCAGAAAAAAAGCTAATTACGTTGCAGGGATTTCGTACGATAAACGATGGGCGCAGTAGAATCCTTTACCGTCCCCTGTTCTATGCAGCCGCAACGTCGAAGCATTGGTCTGCGCAACCTCTAAAGATGCTTAATCTCCAGATTGGACAGCAAGGCGACTAAGGAATCATCAGGGAGGAAGTGTCGAAACAACATGCCTTATGCAGAACGGAAAACTGTTTTGTAGCCTGTTCCACAAATATACAGAGAGCTTTGGAACTCAGCGCCCTGGACCAACAAGGGCATTTTTCTCAGTCTGAGTTACATGGTTTCGCGATTGTTTGCAGGCCTTAATCATTCAACCTGGTGTTTCTTGTCTGAACTTGTAGTCACCTCATCAGCACACCGTTTGTCTATTATCTTGATTACGTAGGGGGTAAAAAGGGAGTTTGAATGAGGGAACTCGCTTATTTTCAAACAGCAAAACAGGGTAGATATCATGTAATAACTTCACGTCCCCAGCAGCAAGCAAGAGAGTTGGCATCGCATGGCCAATCGCAAGGAGAAAATGAAAATCAGAACAAGATCGCATCGATCACCAACATTCCGTAGCGAGCCGGACTAGGTGCCGATTCACTCGCTGGTGAAATAAGTGAACGTGTGGTTAATCATGTTCACCATTCTGAGGGCATGTTAATGCGGATCGAGATGACACGTGGCGCGTGAACTTTGCATTTACCAAAAGAGTGATACTTGGCGGAAGTTTCATCTGGTTGTAGTTTGTTCGATCGGAATAAGCTGTGCGTCGCGTCGGATTGATCGCATGCGTCCCTGAGTTTATGTGAATTTATAATGATCAGGGGATCTGGACCCACGTCCAGTACGCGTTGACCCAGTAAGATGGAGATGAGGAGGAATACCGAGAGCTGCAAATGAAACGGTGGCCAAGTTAAACTTGAAGCCGATACTGACCATCAGCAGTTAGAAAGCCAATGATTTTGAAAGGCAGTGTGGTCTGGTTACCACTGTTCAATCAATGTGTTCGATACGAATAGCTAAATCGAAGCGCACAAACCGAGTAGAAATGCGTGCCGTGGAATGAAGACAAAAGTACCCATTCTTTATGAACGGAGGAGGTAGGAGAGAAAAGTTCGGAGTTTTCGTGGTCGCTCGCTGCCAATACCGTACTACACTGTAGGCTTCGTGCTTGTTTGGACTCCTTAAATAGAGAAAGTCGACGTGGAACCCGGCATGTTGTGACTTACGGTTGGCGTCTAGATCCCTAGGTCATTGGGCTCAGCGAGCAATGAATCTGTTATGTCAGTTAAGTAAAAGAACTGCCATGGGCATATGGTGATGCTTTCCATCCAAAATTGAGTCAGGGATCTCGTGGCACACTGGAGTTTACTACGTAGTGTTATAGCGGAGGTAAGAATACTCCACCACTCCCCGTGGTTTTGTGAGTTTTATTCCACTCACCCCTATTCACCCCGTCCTCTTTTACGGTTCCCCACATACGTTCTATTACTTCACCTTTGTGACTAGCTTGGGTTGACACTGAATCTTATGCTTAATGGTTTTTCCCTTACTCTGTAAATTTCGCTCGTTCGTGAGACATCGTATCGATCCTTTGCCCCGGGAATGATTAGCTTTGATTGATCGATCGTCAGCCTTACCACTGCATAGCCTGTGTATATGCCCTAATTTGAATCATGTCATTGAATTGCACACACAGACGTTTGGTGGCCGGTTTGGCGTGCGGCGTGAGCATTATTTTCTACCCGGTCGTTGGTGTTCTCACTACGGTTAGTGGGTGGAAGCAGTCGTGGGGCTCCGACACAACACGTAGCAAAGGACTAAGAGCATGGTAAGGAAATCACAAGTAAAATGACCGAATATCTTTCATACAACGAACCAATAGTGGGCATTGTGCGGAGAAAACTTGTAGTTTAAACTTACCGGTGGAAGACGTGAAATCAATCGATTGTGATCAGCAGCAGTAGCGACGAATAAATCGGCGTCAGCATGATCTGGCGTCAGACGAATCAACAAGTCCATGGTCGTGACGAGGTGGACAAAAAAAGCGCCGGACACGTTCAAATGGCTTAAAGGAGAAGTGGAAAACGACCGAAATAAAATAATGTCCGGCAAGTGATGATAAGTAGCCGGCGCTGGTGATAGTATTCCGAGTTTTAGATATCCTCATGAAAAGACTGAGTATGAGTTTACAAATACTTCGTACTGATGCAATGTGTTATAACATATCTTAGTTGTTTCGATTCCTAGTCGGACCGGACGAAACGTTATTCATTGATAGTATCACTGCGCGCAGGGTATTTAACTGAATTCGGATCGGTATGGCCTAAAGGACCCAGCCGCCAGACGGTGTACACGCGAGCTGTGACACGATTGCACAGAGACTCAGAAAACAAAGATAGCAAAAGTTCGTTTGTCGATTCAGCCAAAGATAAAACACGCCTTCTATACCTTCGTATTTATGCTCAACAGTATAGCAGCGCAATACATAAACTAGTTACATAGGAGTAGTAGGGGGAGTTGAATGGTATAGGTAGAAATTCATCACATCTAGACTCACTCAGACAGCCGTCACACGCCCGGAAAAGCACTGTACGCGCGTTTCATCCTTTCGGAAATCGTCAGCAGTGCGCATTCCATCGGACCCTGGTAGGACTCGAACCCGCAACTCGACTGTTGCCAGTCCGTGGTTGAGACCACTGAGCTACGCGGGACGGCAACGACCATCGTGAATAAGTTACTAGATGTGATATAGCGCCGCTCACTATCCACTGACTTACACGTTACTGTCGTGCAGAGGACAGGGTAGCCCCTCACCAAGCGACGAGCTTACCAAACTTAAGCCGCCAATTAACTTATGGCATTATAAGCAGTTTGGTCTGCGTATTGATTACAGAAGAGTAGTAGGGGGAGTTGAATGGTATAGGTAGAAATTCATCACATCTAGACTCACTCAGACAGCCGTCACACGCCCGGAAAAGCATTGAAAGCGCGTTTCATCCTTTCGAGAATCGTCAGTGGTGCGCATTCCATTGGACCCTGGTAGGGCTCGAACCCGCAACTCGACTGTTGTAAGTCCGTGGTTGAGACCACTGATGAGTGTGGAGGAAAGCACACTAGTTGCCACATAGTGGCAGTATCCTGAGGAAAACTCAGTTGGGGTCAGTGCGCATTGGGGCGCTGAGAATAGCTCAGTTGTTACTGGAGCAGTTTGATCCGCCGCGTGGTCACAGTATAGCTGAGGTGAGCTCAGACTAATTCTGCGCGAATTTCGAAAAGACATGGGGGTTATGTAACAGCATGTAACCGGGACAGGATACCTCCAAGGCGCTCAAACCCACGCAAGTACGGGGATTAACCCACGAGGTTCAGAGTTAGCACATCAAACATGTGTGTGAGGGATAGTGGCCAAAATACCCAGCCAAAGAGAATATATGGATTTACAAACTATGCAGAGTGGAACATCTTTGCTTCGGACGATGAACCGGCAAGGAAATCAACCGGCGCCGTTTACCCGTGACGACAAATGTGGCGGAGAAAGCAGCACTGTGTTTGGGCAACAGGTCTGTTTCGGAATGCCCCAAGATGATTAATGAAGGTAATCAACTTTAGGAGTAACTTCGGAAGCGGAAGAGTAAAATCGACATTAGTTTGCTTCCAACACTATCCAATGAATACTGTCCAAACCGTCATCATGAACTCGCACTCGAACATCCTTTGTCGGCAAACCACTATGCGAGTTGTTAGCTTCCCCGCCCTTACCGGGCAGAGCCGATGGTGCGATGAGGCTGGTGGTGGCTAGATCCTGACAGATGGTCTACCCACTGCTGCTACTGTTGCGCCACTGGCTCAGGTCCTGGACGCCTCCTCGTCGCGACCGCTGGGTGGGAGTCGAGTTACGCCCTTCTCCCTGCTAAGATCCAAGACACCAATCGGCATGAATCAGTGAACTGACCATGTGCTAGAGCCGCTGCCTTTCGGGTGTACATTTAATCGAATCCATTGGTTGAGGGCGCGAGTCGTTCTCCTGTCAGGTGTAGGAGCCCTTCCAGTATCCTAGTCCAGCCTCTTCAGAGATTAGGAAGTGGTCGATGACCCTCTTCTTGTAAAATCTAGCCATGGGAGACAACAGGTCTACGGGTTATAAGCTTACAGCTAGATTGGCGCAGAGCACGGGCGCCACGTATTGTTTCTGACGGTGGGAGAGCAGCTCCGGGTGCTCAATGGTTTGTTACTACCCACCCCCAGTCAGGCAGCCTGTGGTCATGTTGGTGCAAACCCGCTAAAACCCACCTGCATCTGGACGTGGTCGCAGGTGCGTATCCTGCTATGGTCGCAAAACATATATGGATCGTTCCAGTACCTCAAAGTCTGTGTGTGACGGACCTCAAGCAGATCACAATCGGTCTCTGCAATCACATTCCCGAGCTGGATCTGCTCCCCACTGACTTGGCTATTGAGTCAAAGGCTCCAGGTGGAGTTCCTCAAGAAAACCTCCGACGCACAACTGTCACCTCGCCTGCGATTGCCAACCAATTCAATCGTAAGCCTGCGCGCAAATCACTGAGCATCGGGTGCAGGAACGTGCGCACACTACTGGGCCGGAACTCGTGAGCGCCCCCAGTGACGCACTGCACTGGTCGCGATAGAACTGGCGCGGTACAACATCGATATTGCGGCGCTCAGTGAAACTCGGCTCGCTGAGCAAGGTAAGTTGCATGAAGCAGGTGCTGGCTACACATTCTACTGGGTGGGCAATGCCACCTCAGCACCACGTGAACATTAAGCCGGATTCGCAATATGCGATCGCCTCTATGGCCACCTGGTGGGTGAACGAAAAGACAGCGCGCGACTAAGGACTGTTCGCCTATGACTCGGAAGAGCCAAGTTTGCCACTTTTATCAGCACGTACGGCCCGACCAGATGTTATCCTAATGGCACACGTGATACACTCATTGTAATCAGATGAACCAAGACCAGAAATCAGTTCGGGGTTAAGAATTCTTTTCGGTAAACTCTCTTCAGACCCAAACGTTAACATAACACTGATTGTGTGGGATAAACGTCAAATCGGGCTGGGATTGATTTCTAAACTGTTTAAACGGTCAATATCGATGACTAAATGCGGCTACAGATGGCAAGAACGTGCACCAAAGGATACTTAATACACAAGCTTCAGCAACCTAAAGCAAATAGGAAAGGTTCCGAAGGGAATTAAGTAACCATGTCAGTCGGCTACGGTAGTAGTATCGACCGTATGAAACGTTTATGTACACATAATTCCGGCTTCAGATAGTGGATGTAAATAGTCTCGGCAATAGACAAGATTTGCTTTCGGAAGCCTTGCGAGAAGCGTTCAGGTAGTGAGTAGATGACCTTAAAGTCATTCTCAGATGCAGTATGGCCACTTTCGAGGAGGTGTGACATGATTGAGCTGTCTGAGGACCTCATTTCGCCTTTGTAAAACCACGGCGGGATGTGCTCGCGAATCCTCTGGGATAGATGTCTCGTTGTGCGACCCACGTATCGTGCACCACAGGAGCACGAGTACTGATAAACGAGCATTGAACGGGTCAACGATGGCAGACTATCTTTCAAGGGTTTTGCAAGCAATGGCTTGTTGTGGTAAAGAATTCTTAAACGAGCTGCGAAATAAGTTTTCTCAACAGCATCTTTCAGATGTCGAGATAAGACATCAGCTGCAGTATCGCCCTTGGATGACAAGTGTATGAGTAGCTCTTTCTTGGGAGCAATGCTCCTAGGTGGCTTTCGCTTTCGTTCTTTCATATGCTTCCTGATAAACTTATCGGGGTAACCATTTTCACGAAGGGCGTCGCTGATTCTCTGTAGCTCTTGATTGACGGTATCCGGAGTGCAAATACTGCGTGCCCTGAAGGCAAGTGATCGGATTGAACTCCTCTTGTGCTGTAAAGGCACTGCGCTGCGGAAGTTAGTGTACTGTCCAGTCCACGTATGCTTTCTATGTACCTTTCTGCTACATGATCCGTCCGAGTTGCGGATGACTTCTACATCCAAGAAAGGTAAACGGTTTTCATTTTCGTGCTCACAGGTGAAGCGTAGATGCTCATGTGCGTTATTAAAGGCCTTCAGCAACTGTTATGCATGCTTTTCGGATTCGCAAAGTATGAAGGTGTCCTCGACATACCGTACGTACATTGCAGTTCCACAGATGCGCGTCCTGAGTGGGCCATGTTCTAATTTCGCCATAAAGATGTCAGCCAACAACGGCCCCAAAAGAGATTCCATGACCACTCCATCAATCTGACGGTACATCTCACCATTGAATGTGAATTGAACATTGAACGTGCAGCGAAATAGTATCTCTTTTAGCAAATCCTCCGGATAGGTAGCGTATATCGGTAGTTGCCGGGTCAACTCGCACATGTATTCCACCGTTTCGAGCAGTGGAATTTTTGTAAACAGCGACTGATCATCAAAAGATATCATCCTTTTGTTAGTAAAGTTGAGTCCAGGTATCTTCTCAATGAATTCGAAGGAGTCTCTCACGCAGTAAATGCAAACCATATCCCGTAACGGTTGCAATTTGTTCACCATTCATTGGGGCAACAAATGCTGGGGAGAACGCATCATGTCCAAGAATGGACGTGGTTTTACAAAGGCGAAATGAGGTCCTCAGACAGCTCAATCATGTCACACCTCCTCGAAAGTGGCCATACTGCATCTGAGAATGACTTTAAGGTCATCTACTCACTACCTAAACGCTTCTCGCAAGGCTTCCGAAAGCAAATCTTGTCTATTGCCGAGACTATTTACATCCACTATCTGAAGCCGGAATTATGTGTACATAAACGTTTCATACGGTCGATACTACTACCGTAGCCGACTGACATGGTTACTTAATTCCCTTCGTGACCTTTCCTATTTACTTTAGGTTGCTGAAGCTAGTGTATTAAGTATCCTTTGATGCACGTTCTTGCCATCTGTAGCCGCATTTAGTCATCGATATTGACCGTTTAAACAGTTTAGAAATCAATCCCAGCCCGATTTGACGTTTACCCCACACAATCAGTGTTATGTTAACGTTTG